ATATGTTGCATATATAACGTGTGTTACATAGTATAGCCTGAATTTTGTACCCACTCCCACCCACTACCACTCATATGTTGAAGCCTAACTCTCAGTGTGACTGTATTGGAGACAGAGCTTTTAAGAAAGTGAGTAAGATTAAATGAGGTCATACAACAATCTGTGAGTGCTAGGTTTTGAGCTAGAGTAGAAACGTATTGCTAAAAAAACATATAAGATGGTAGAAACAATATCTTATATATCTTTTTACTTCCACTGCCAAGAAAAAGTTCTTGACTAATAGACAAAGAGATGCTGGGACTCAGGGACTTCATCAGCTCTCTCAACAGAAGCCAGGAACAGAGATGAGATTATACCAGCTAAAACACTAAGAGCTTGAATTAAATGGTGCAGAGAAAGCAGAATAGAATTAAGGCAGATTGTGGGACTTCTTGGATTCTATAAGGACTGGACCACTATTCGAGAAAAAAGAAGAAATACCCATAAAGGGGTTCAGAGGTCACTGGGGCTGCTACTCTTGCAAGAGGCCCAGGGAGCAGGACTGTTTCCTTCCAGGTTTCAAAAGGTGGGCTGCCTCTCCAGTTTCTGCAGGGCAGGATGACCCTGTTCAGTGCCTCTAGGGCAGGAGCCACCCTTACAGGGAGCCATGTGGGCAGGGCCCTTGCAGAAAGAATCTGCCTCACCCACAGAGCCATCAGGGTGACCCTGCCATCCCAGAGGAACTGGAGAGCAAAATGTGTAACCAAAAAAAATTATTTTCAAGTCTTAACATCAAATAGAATTTGCCTTTTTAGGCTTTAGACTTCATTAGGGCACATCATCCATTCCTTTTTCTAGTTTTTCCCTTTTGGCATAGAAACGTCTCCTCTGTGTCTGTCCTACAACTGCATTTTGGAAGCACATAACTTGTCTGCTTTCATAGTTCACAGCTAGGGAGGAAGTTTGCCTCAAGATGAGGCAAGTTTCACCCATATCTGATTATATGGTATTTCTTGGTAGTTCTTTGTTTTTCCACAGCTTTACTGAGGTGTAATTGACAAATTAAATACAATAGATTACTTTGGTTGTATGAACATTTTAACAATGTTAAATTCTTCCAGTCCATGAACACAGGATATCCTTGCTAATACATGTTATCATTTGCCTTTTTGTTAACAGCCATTCCAACATGTGAGTGTTACATCCCACTATGGGTTTCTATTTGCATTTCCCTGATGATTAGTGATGCTAAGCATCTTCTCATGTACTTTTTGTGCATTTATAAAAACTGTATATATTTACAGTGCACATATGCATACATGTGATACACATATACATATACATTGGTATACATATACATTGTGAAATGATTACCACAATCGTGTTAATTAACATATCCATAACATGTAGCATAGTTATTTCTGTTTTGTGATAAGAACATTTAATATCCATGTTCTTAGTCATTTTCAAGTATACAATATATTATAAATTTTAGTCACCATGCTGTGTAATAGATCTCCAGAACTACTTATTCTAATTAAAACTTTGTACCTTTTGATAAATGTATCCTTCTCATTTCTCACCCCTATCTCCTGCTCCAAGTCCCTAGTAACCACCATTCTACTCTCTACTTCTGAGTTTGATTTTTTTCAGATTTCACATATAAATGAGATCATGCAGTATTTGTCTTTCTGCATCTAACATTTCATTTAGTGTAAGGTCCTCCAGGTCCATCCATATTATCACAAATGACAGAATGTCTTTCTTTTTAAAAGCTGAATAGTATTCCAATGTGTATATATACCACATTTTCTTTATCCATTAATCCTTCAATGGATAATTTGTTTGATTCCACATCTTGCAGATTTTGAAAATGCTGCAGTAAAAATGAGGCTGCAGATAGCTCTTCAATATACTGATTTCACTTCTTTTGAATCTATATTCAGAAATGGGATTGCTGGATTGTATGGTAGTTCTATTTTTAATTTTTTGAAGAATCAACATTTTCCATAATAGCTGTACTAATTACATTCCCACCAAGAGTGTACAAGGATTCCATTTTCTCCACATCCTTGCCAATACGTTATCTTTTGTCTTTTTGGTAATAGCCATTTTAACATGTGTGAAGTTATATTTCATTGTGGTTTCTGTTTGGATTTCTCTGAAGATTAATGACGTGGAGCATCTTCTCCTATACATGTTGGCCATTTGCATGTCTTCTTTTGAGAAATGTCTATTCTGGTCTTTTGCCCTTTTTTTTTTTTTTTGAGACGGAGTTTCACTTTTGTTACCCAGGCTGGAGTGCAATGGCGCGATCTCAGCTCACCGCAACCTCCGCCTCCTGGGTTCAGGCAATTCTCCTGCCTCAGCCTCCTGAGTAGCCGGGATTACAGGCATGCACCACCATGCCCAGCTAATTTTTTGTATCTTTAGTAGAGACGGGGTTTCACCATTTTGACCAGGATGGTCTCGATCTCTTGACCTCGTGATCCACCTGCCTCAGCCTCCCAAAGTGCTGTGATTACAGGCTTGAGCCACCACACCCGGCCTCTTTTGCCCGTTTTTAAAAGAGGTTCTTTGTTTTCTTGTTATTGCATTGTATGAGTTCCTTATATATTTCAGGTATTAATGCTATCAAATGTACGGTTTGCAATTTTTTTTCCCCTATTCCATAGTGATCATTTCCTTTGGTGTGCAAAGCTTTTTGGTTCAATCCAATCTATTTGTCTATTTTTGCTTTGTTGCCTATGCTTTTGAGGTCATATCTAAAAAATCCCTGCTTAGCCCAATGTCAAGAAGCTTTTTTCCTAGATTTCTTTCTAGTAGTTTTACAGTGTTAGGTCTTATCTATTTTTAGTTTACTTTTGCATATTGTGTGAGATAAGGATCCACTTTCATTCTTCTGCATGTGGAAATACAGTTTTCTCACAACCATTTGTTGAAGAAACTATCCTGTTCCCATTGTATGTAGTTGGCACCTTGTCAAAAATCAATTGAGCACAACTGCGTGCATTTATTTCTGGGTTCTGTATCCTATTCCATTGTTTAATGTATCTATTTTTATGCCAGCACCATGTTGTTTTGATTACTATGACTTTGTAAGGTAATTTACAATCAGGTAGTGTGATGCTTCCATCTTTATTTTTTTTTGCTCAAAATTGCTTTGGCTGTTCAGGGTCTTTGTGGTTCCGAAGGAATTTTAGGGTTGTTTTTTCTTTTCTTTTGGGATAGAGTATTGCTCTTTCACACAGGCTGGAGTGCAGTGGTGCAATCTCAGCTCACTGCAACCTCTGCCTCCAAGGTTCAAGTGATTCTTCTGCCTCAGCCTCCCAAGTAGCTGGCACTACAGTTGAGTGCCACCACACTCAGCAAACTTTTACATTTTTTAGTAGAGGCAGGGTTTTACCATGTTGGGCATGCTGGTCTTGAACTCCTGACCTCAAGTGATCTGCCCATCTTGGCCTCCCAAAGTGCTGGGATTACAGGTGTGAACCACCACGACTGGCGAAGGGTTATTTTTTCTATTTCTGTGAAAAATGACATTGTCATTTTGACGGGAATTGCATTGACTCAATAGATCACTTTGGTTGTATGGATATTTTAAAAATATTAAATTATTCTAGCCCATGAATACTGAATATCTTTCCATTCATTTGTGTATTCTTTAATTTATTTCATTAACATTTTACAGTTTTCAGCGTACATATCTTTTACTTCCTTAGTCAAATTCATTCCTAAGTGGGATTATTACCTTGATTTCTTTCTGGGACAGTTCGCTGTTACTGAATGGAAATGCTACTAATATTTGTATGTTAATTTTGTGTCCTGAAACATTTTGGTGGAGTCTTCAGGGTTTTTAATATTTAAGATCATGTCACCTGCAAACAGACAGTTTTACATCTTTTTTTCCAGTGAAGATGCCTTTTCTTTCTTTCTCTTGGCTAATTGCTCTGACTAGGACTTCCAGTATTATACTGAATAGTAGTTGTAAGGGTGGGCATCCTTGTCATGTTGCTATGATTTAGATATGACTTTAAACTTCAGACTTTAGAGTGGGTACTGCATGAATTAAGATTCTTGTGGCTTTTGAGATGGAAAGAATGTATTTACATTCAAGAGGGCATGAGTTTTGGGGGCCATGAATGGAAGGCTATGAACTGAATTGTGTTTCCCTAAAATTCATATAGTAAAACTCTAACCTGCAATGTGACTGCATTAAAAATAGAACCTGTAAGGAGGTGATTAAGGTTAAATAAGGTCATGAAGATAGAGTCCTGGTTTTTTGGGATTAGTGCCCTTACAGGGAGAGACATGAGAGAGCCTGCTCTCTCTGCCCAGAAAGAAGTCATAAGAACACACAGGGAGATGGCAGCTGCCAACAAACCAAGAAGAAAGCCTCACCAGAAACTATGTTGGCAGTTATCACAGACTTCCAGCCTCCAGAATTCTAAGAAAATAAATGGTTATGGTTGAAGCCACATAGACTATGGTACTTTGCTGTGGCAGCCTGAGTACAGACTAATACATCACACATGTGCCACATATATGTGCTGTACCTGTTATGAAAGTGCATATGACACTCAGGAGTTGCACATATACATATATGCATGCCAAATGTATGTTATACATCATGTTATATATAATGCACATCTCTACCCCCTTCATTTATCCTATCTATAAACATACACACATAGATTGAGAGAGAGCAAACAAGCCCTGATCTCCATGCCTGAGAGTTAGCTTAACTCCATTCGGGGAACTCATACTCAAGCCCTGATCCTGGTTTTATGCCAATGCCAATGATCCATGCCATTAATCCTAGGGCAGCTAAGTCATAAAACCTGAGAATATAATACTAAAAAAAGAAACCTTACATAGGTGAGCAGCACCATCTTTACTTAAAACAGCTATAAATAATTTTGTTACCATAAAGGTCTCAATTGTAATAAGAATATATTTGCTGTAGTTAATGTGCATTTCTAAATAAATGAATAACTTTTCAAAATGTTTTGTTAACTCACCTTGTCACAGATCCATTTCTTAGGATTTTCACTTCGGAATTGTTCTTTGTGAGAAGTGGGACTATACTTGCTTGATAAATGCATTGATGGGAGGTACTTTTTATTTTTATGGTATGAAGAAAATGGCAAAAACCTGAAAGAGATATTTAGAAGATATTATTAACTTGATTTCTAGAGACATTTGATTTTAAAAATAAGGATCTGGAGAAGTACTATAGTACAGTGAAGATGACACATGATTTAGAATCAAAATACCCAGATTCCATTTCAACCTCTGCCACTGAGTATCTGTGTTATAACTCCTATTTGTCTTTATTTTCCATTCTGCAAATGAAGATACTAAAATGTTCTTCACAGAATTTTTGTGAGTCTCAAGTATTTTATATAGAGAGATGTTAAACAATACATTTATGAATTAATTATGCCAAAAACTCAAAATTCATCATATAAATGAAAATGTTCTTAATTTTAAAATAGTAACCCCAAACCAAAAGAACAGCCAGTACAGTCAATTGTCATTGAAGTAGACTTTTGTTAATCTTAAGTTACTTGAATAACGGTAGCATTATTGGTAGCAGTTATGAATAATGGGGCCTTCAAGTCAGCCAGACCTGAAATCACATCTTAGCTCTGCTTTGCTAGCTGTATTACCTGAATGAGCCTTGACTTCCATATAGGGTTATTACAATGAATGAACAACTTAATTTATATAAGGTATTTAACATGGAGGCTGAAAAGAACATGTCCAGTAAATAATGTTGATGCTGAAAGCAGACACAAAAATCAGTTACCTGCTGCAGCAATCATCATCATCATCATCATCACCATTACTTTAGATATTTTTATGATCAACAGAAAAGACCAAACTTTTAAAACCCATAAGAACTCTCACAGAACATCTAAGATTGTGATATGCTTTCAGTATAACCCAGATACCTCACAAAACACACTGAAATAAGAGTAAAGAAATTTTTTAAAAAGTTATAAACCTATAAGGAGAAATACAACAGAAAATAAGAACGAGCAATTGAAAATACCAATTAACTTTTTGCATGTGGAAGGAAGATAGGAAATTCATAAATGACACAAAAGAGTTAAGAGAACTGAAATCTAAGTGCCAAAAGAGTGAGATGTAAAAGAGAAACAGGGCAGTTTGTCCTGCAGAAACATGGAAAGACTCTGGAACTAAATCTAAGGTTATTGCAGAAAGTGAGTGAAAGAATGAAGCTGAAAACAGTTGCAAGTCTATGGAAGCACTAATTAAATCCCCAGGTCCATGTCCCAGTCCATCTATCCATAACAACCTATTCTTAGAAAAATTTACACCAAAAAGCTCTAGTCTCAAGGAAAGCAGGTACAAACGAAGGCCAAGGGGAAGCACCAAATGGAATACGTAGAATTTAACCCAATGTCTGCCTATTGAACTCTTCCCTTGCTCATCTCTTAAGTGCATTGGCAGCTTGGACTTATATCCTGATTGCATCTTCGGAAAAGATGTGACAGTTCCCAGCGAAACAACTTCAAATATCAATAATCTAGGGATGTTTTGATTAAAAGGCTGTATGAGAGTAAAATAAAATCTGTCAAAAAGCCACTCTTTTACACACATAGAGTGTCTACTTTAATTTTTATATTTTCTCTTTTAATATAAACTTAAGAATGGATTAGCAGTGGGAAAATAATCAACATGGAAGAAGGATACAAATCCAAGCACAATAAGCTAGAAGAAACAGACATCATAATGCAGCAAATGGGTAAATTCAGAAATTTTTAATGCATATAATAAAATGAGATATGGTATTAATGAAATAAAATTTGGATGCTTTTTTAGATTAAAAAAACATTTAGAGAAAAGTGGAAGCTCTGGAAAATAAAAAACTATATATACAAAATAAAATATTCTCCTGAGAAAAATATTCTAAAATTCAGACTTTAAAAAGAGGTTGAGGTTCAACATATATTTACTGAGCCATTACTCTATGCCAAAATTTTCATGCAGATGATCTCATTTAGTTAAGACAAAGAAGGGTGTTTTCAAAAATCTAAATTCAATTGAAAATTATTTTTTGGCATTTAATTAACTTAGAAAAAATGTAGCATTCTTTCATCAATTTTAATACCTCTCTGCAATTTCTTCTTATTTATTAATAAATTCCTTCTTAATATTTTTCCTAAGAAAATATTTTCTAACACTATTTAAATAAAAAACCCAGAATCCAGAGCTTTGAATTATACAAAGTAGGGAACAGAAGCATGTATTACGTATGCTCTTGGGAAAAGAGCTCTCCTATAAGATAGATTATGGTCCTTCCAGTGCTAATTCACACATGGGATGGACATCACACACACAAAAATTAATGTGGCCCCAATGTCCCTGAGTATACAAAGGAGGTGCTGTGAGCCGGCTGCTGCACTTACAGTTTTTATCACTTCTGAATTGCATTTTAATAGTACATTTTTCTTTTGTGTCTGAACAAAATTTGCCTTCTTAAGGGAATGGATGGCTGAGAAGACAAGGCTGGAACACTGGGTATTTCCCTGCTCATGAATTAGCTCTACTTTTATTTAGCCATCATATTTTATGAAAGTAACATATATGCATATTCTTAATTGTACATATGTATGTCCATGTATATATATTCAAAAATATCTAGATATTTTATAATCTTTAAGTAACATTTATCTTCAAATTAGGAAAAATTATTTAATTCTCAAATCAGATTACTCTATAGAGTATAAATAGCAACATTCAAAAAATCACTTTGGTTTATAATAAAATTTCACATAATTATCAATTACTTTAAAACTATGTTCTTTTACCAGTTTTCAATGTATATTCAGTTGTGTTTATGCTTATAGTGAGTACTTTTCAATTAACTGAACTTCATGAAGAGTAATATATGCATTTACATCTTATTTTTTACAATCTTATCAAAGACACAGATCTGGCAAAAATTCTTGAAAGCAATGTTGAGATATAGTGGTATATACAAACGAGTAACAACTTGAATGTCTGGGCAGTTACAGAATAATTGGTACAGGTCTCAGGACGCAAAAATTAGAAATAGTCAATCAGCTTTCAAAAATATAGGTCCATTTTATATAAAGTCTTTACATTCTGAGTATACTTAATATTATTTTATTATTATATACATATATATATTTTTCAAATAAGAACACTAACAAATAACATTCATTGTTTTTCTACCATATAACTCTTTCATTTTCTCCCTTTAAGTTCTACTATCGTTCCTCATAACTCTAGGTGTTCCATCAATGCATTTATTTCACTGCCAGATAATTCAACAAATATTCAAATTACATACCTCTCTTGCCTATTGAATTGAGCCTAAATTCTCCAACTTAGCTGTTAGGCTTTTTCCCAATGTACTTGATCTGTTCAGGCTGTTCAACCACTCCCTATCTGCTGTTCTCTTGATGCCTTTTCTACATTTCTTCCCCCATCCTACCTCTATGCCTTCATTTATACTCTTCCTCCAGAAATGCTGATCCATGCACTTCTGCTCTTTCAAAATCCATGTTAGCATCCAGCTTTCCTAGGCAGCCTAATCTACCCACTCAATTTCTCTATTATCTAAATATTTATGCACTGAACAACTCTCAATGAATTTATATGCTAGGTACTTGGAAAAATACAGAGCCAGGCAGGGTGGCTCACACCTATAATCCCAGCACTTTGGGAAGCCAAGGTGGGAGGATTGCTTTAGGCCAGGAGATCAACACCAGCCTGGGCAACAGAGTAAAAACTTGTCTTTAATACATTTTTTTTGGAGACGGAGTCTCTCTCTGTCACCCACAATGGAGTTCAGTGGCGCAATTCTGGCTTACTGGAACCTCCGCTTCCCAGGTTCAAGTGATTCTTGTGCCTCAGCCTCCAGAATAGCTGAGACTACAGGCACCCACCACCACCCCAGGCTAATTTTTGTATTTTTAGTAGAGACTGGGTTTCGCCATATTGGCCAGGCTTGTCTTGAACTCCTGACTTTGTGATCTGCCCACTTCAGCCTCCAAAAGTGCTGGGATTACAGGTGTGAGCCACTGCACCTGACCCTAATAAAAATTTTTAAAAATTATCCCGATGTGGTGTAATGTATTCACACCCCTACTAGAAGGTGAATTCTAGAAGGTACTGAAAGGTACTGAAAGGAATTCACCTTCTAGTAGGGGTATGAGATAATAAACATGAGTAGAATGTGATAAGTTTTATGATGGATGTATGGACAACAGGGAGTTAATGCAAAGAGTAAGATTTGTGTTTGTATATACGTGTCTGTGCAGGTATGGGGAGCTACTGGCAGGGAAATGGACTATGGGGCATGGAAAAATTGTCTTCCCAGACCATGTATGCCAGAACTGAGCACTGAAAGGCAAGTACAGTTCAAGTTAAGCATCTGGTGAAAGCTACTTTAGGCGGAAAAAACAACATATGCAAATAAACATAGGTGAGTTAGAGCATAAAAAGGAATGCTGAAGAAACTGAAAAAATTCAACGTAGCTAGAAAATTCTGTTCTTGTGAAGACAACAAAGTAGATCACAAACAGCCTCAGTGGAGATGATTGTTCATGAAAACAATCCATGGAGGCTAGGCCGGTGGCTCACACCTGTAATCCTAAACTTTGAGAGGCCTAGGCAGGTGGATCACCTGAGGTCAGGAGTTCAACACACCAGCCTGGCCAACATGATGAAACCTGATCTCTACTGAAAATACAAAAAATTATCTGGGCATGGTGGCACACACCTGTAGTCTCAGCTACTCAGAAGGCTGATGCATCAGAATCGCTTGAACCCAGGAGGCAGAGGTTACAGTGAGTGAGGTCCTGCCACTGCACTCCAGCCTGGGTGACAGAGTGAGACTCTGTCTCAAAACAAAACAATACAGAACAACAATGAGAAAACAATGAGGAGTCACCTGCAAGCAAATTTCAAAGTCAAGTTACCTTGGGGCAGATACTTCCATATGATGAATTTAGAAGATTCGATGGCATAGGAGTGGGAGGGAAACCTGAGACTCTCATATTAAGTCAATATTTATAAGGTAACTAGAGTGGCTCTAGATCAGTAGTGTCTTATAGCACAAGGAAGACAGACATAACTATTCTCTAGAGGAAAAC